AATAATTATAATTATTATAGATGATGATTCTAATATTATGTAGATATCATGTAAGGTATCAGAGGGATGACCTCGACCCTCTCATATCTATTACGGGGTCAATAAACGGGGTAAGTGTGGGCCTCAAAAAAAAAAAAAAAAAAAAAAAAAAAAAACATTCATTTTATCCATTCTTTGTATTCACGAATGGGTAATATTTATTGAAGAAGATATTGTCAGATGGTATTTATAAAATAATATAAAATAACTTCACATAACAGTCACATTGTCCAAAACAAATTTAATATAAAATACGAATGAAATAAGAAAAAAAATCGGATTCTATAAAGCAAAATAATTTGCAGACAGGATGTTAGGACTAACTGGCAAGGGTAAGGCATGGTGATAACATCATGCTTGACGAAAACAATCGGATAATTAATACACATGTTCTTAAACGCACACTAAGTTCAAAGTGATTAATGTCATAACGATGAAATCATGAGATAAATAATTCGTAAAGTAGTATCTTTTTAGATCTATTTTAGGCTTATTTATATAAATATACATTTTCATAGTCGAAATAACTCCATCCTTAGCACGCAGTTAATTAATCAAATATGTCAAAACGACGTTATTATGAAGCAAGCAACTAATTTTACATCGCTTAATTAGTTATCATGCATGACGACGTCAGCAACAATCTTAATGCAAGAACAAATCACCTAAGAGCAATTTATTAAAATTTGAAGAAAATTGTAAAAACTGCTCAATCTAAAACAGATAATCCAGCTTTGGTTGGTTCTTTTGTGCGAATCAGCGTTTGCAATCAATTCACCAGATAAAGTCAATTGTTTATTTTGCCTTTCCATAATCTCTGATCATTAAACTAAATCGGTAAAGAGTACATCAAGTTTGGATAAAAAGGTTTTTTACAACTGGTATGCAATTGTAATGGTTGAAAATCTAGGATATAACTTCAATTGGTGTTAAATCAAACATTTAGTTACTGTCTAGACAGACAATCCTCGAGAAGAAAAGTGTAAAGTCATCAACTGGTTTGAGCAATTGGCAAACTGTTTCTTCGGTTTGCGTTAAACAACATTGAACACTAAACGGTATTTAACCTGAGTTTTTCATGAAACATTACTGTATAAGTAAATGCATAACATTTTCTGATGTGTTTTAAGTTTATTTAAACGTTCTCAAAACTACTCAGACCTATTTAGAAGTCGGACAGTCGTTTTGTTTATTTTGTTTAGAGTTACATCGACACAGTTTAAACTATATAGTGACCTTTTGGCTTTCCTGCTGAAAGAACTCACACCTCATTAGAACAACAATCCTTTTGTAACTTTACTGTGTAGATAAAGTACAGGTAGAAATTCAAAACAAAAATGACAAAAAGCGTAGAGGGGCCAATATTTGACAGTCGGCGACAATAGTTCCTTGCATAGGGTAGAAGGAACAAATCAGGATAAAAAGCAGCCATGAATATTGGAAAACATAATGAATAAAGCAACCAATTCAAAGACTTACTGATTTAATAACACTTTAATAACTTATTGACACCAAGACATTGGAAAAAGAAAGAATGTAGAATCAAATTCATGATTTAAACATATTTGATTGCCAAAAAAATAGAAACATATACATACATGTTAAACCGTAACAATACAACAGTATCAGTCGGCACACACACAACAAAGAGTTCAAAAGCACAATGTAGTTAGTATAATACGTTAACTTAACTTAATTTTTTAACAAATCGAATCTGCAATGAAATTAGTCCAATTGTGTTTAAACGGTTGGCTAAGGAAAATGGTGTTTTTTTTATACAAATTATATACAGAAAAAAACAAATCGCCCAAACAAACAATGACCATCCCCGGCGGAAATTTCTTGGATATGACTTGGTTTAGGGCTTTGGGCCTGATATTTTACACAGACGACCCTTCAAACTTGTACAAAATCGAAACGGCATTAGAATCAGACAAATGGTGTTAAAACGGTTGGTACAGGTAAAATGTAATTTTTCACAATTTATATAGAAAGAACAAATCCCCGGAACAAAAAAAAAACGACCAGGTCACTCGAAAATCACCTTGACATATAACTTGTGTTAGGGCTTTTGGTCTTACATTGTGCACAGAAGACCCTCCATATTTGTACAAAGTCAAATCCGTATTGGAATCAGAAAAATATTGTTTAAACGGTTTGCTCTGTTTCAAAAATTATCCAAATACATACAGAAAGAATAAACTGACGGTCAAAAAACGACCAAGCCATGCGGAAATGTCCCGGACCTTTTTTTCTTGGGTTAGAAATTTGGGCTTTACATTCTGCAAAGAAGACCCTTCAAAGTTGTTTCCCAATTAAATCAGACAAACGGTGTCTGGAAAATAGTGTATACGAATTACATACATAAAGAACAAATCGACGGTTAAAAAATGACCATGACATGCGGAAATGTCCTGGACAAATTTTTTGGGTTATGACTTAAAGGCTTCATATTCTGCAAAGAAAACCCTCCAAAGTTGTACAAAATTTAATTCACATTGGACTCAGCCAAATTGTGTATTTTTCAAAAAAATAATGATTTTGTTCGAAAATGTATACGATTTATATACAGAAAGAAAAATCACCGCTGCAAAAAGGGACAATTTTACAGGGACTTCTTGTTATTACTTTTCTTGCGGAGGAGCTTTGAGCCTTATATTGCTGTGAATAAGATCATCCAAACTGATATAATGAACTTGATAATTACATGTTTCTCGTTGTATTTTTATTACGTAGCGTTCATTTTAAAATAACTAACTATGCATGACCTCAATCCCTGTAAGAATATTCTCTGAAGTTTTTAGTCGAGCTAACCTTGCTTTCATTTTTATAAAGTATCAAAATAATGGCAATCTCAGTTTTAGAAGGATGCTGTCTCTAAGATGTTGTTTTATCAGTCGATTAATGGCTATGGAGGGAGAGAAATGCAAATCGACGGTCCAGAAACAACCATACCACGTGGAAATTTCAAGGACATATTGCTTAGGTCAAGGAAATTGGTGCTTTTTTACAATTTATATATAGAAAGAACGAATCTACGGAAGAAAAAACGACCAATGCCACGCGGAAATCTCCTGAAAATATTATTTGGGTAAAACTTTGGGCCTTTTATTGTGCACAGAAGGCCATGCAAATTTGTACAAAATTGAATCCGCATTGTAATCAGACAAATGGTGTTTTAACAGTAGGCTCAGGAAAATGGTGTTTTTTTATACAATTCATATACAGAAAGAACAAATAACCGGACCATGCCACGCGGAAATCTCCTGAACATATTACTTTGGTTAGGGCTTTTGGCCTTACATTGTGCACAGAAGACCCTTTAAACTTGTACAAACTCGAGTTTGCATTGGAATCAGACAAAATTGATCCCTCATAAAAACAAACGGTCTTTAAATGGTTTGCTCTGGAAATAGTGAATTTTTCGAAACTGTATACGAATTACATAGTACATAAAGAACAAATCGCGGGTTCAAAACATGACCATGCCATGAGGAATCACCCCCGGACATATTTATATTGTGCAAAGAAAACCCTTCAAAGTTGTACAAGGTCCCGCAACCCCGCCAAGCGAAAAGTCGATAACTAACAAGTTAAAATGGCGGGGGCGCAGAGCGAAAACACGTTAACTGGTGAGGCGCGGCTGAAGTTTTATAAATAAAACGTCGACAGAGTGAAATTTAAGAAATTAAACGGTGGGGCGTTGATCAAACAATCGCTTATAAGTGGGGGCGCGAGGAGAAGTTAAATAAATTAAACTTCGCTCCGAACCCCCGCTAATTAGTGGGTTTTCGCTCAACGACACCGACGTTTTATTTCTTGATGTTGCGCTCCGGCGTGGCGATGTTTTATTTATTAATCTACACCTTCATCAGACCAATTCTAGAATACGCCGATGTTGTTTACATCAATTGTACTCAATATGAAAAGAGTGAACTGATAAAATCCAACATGAAGCTTGTAAAATCGTCTCTGGTGCTACACATTTTACATCCCTTCATGAGCTCAAACGAGAGGTCCCTTGGGAAGCTCATGGCAGTAGTGCTTTTAAAATGAAAAATGGACTCTCTCCTGACTATCTATCAAGTTTTGTCCTTCCTTCTGTAATAGAAACCTCGCGTTATAAATTAAGAAATTCGAATGATATACAAGGGTACTGTAATGCTTTTCTTCCTTCATCTCTCATAGAATAAACTACCAGATGATATACAAAATACCCCTTTATTATCCTTTTGTAAATGTCTTTTGGATAGAAACATTAAAATTTGCCCAAAATATTTCGATATAGGTATCAAACAATGGCTAATTTATCATGCACGTCTACAGAGTGTAGTTCTCTTAACCACCATCTTTACAGAAGAATATTGTAAATGCACATCTATGAAATTGTGGACTTCAGGAAACTTACCCTCATGTTTTTTCTTTGAATGCAAAGAATATATTACTTTTAGAGACAGTTTTTCCAAACAGTTTCAGCTTACTGTAATGTAACACTCCACACACTCCTTGACTGCGACACAAACTGAAGTGACGACAGCAACATTAGTATATATCAGGCAGTTCAGATAGTAAACGATTTCCATAGTCTATGCTATATTCTACTGCTCCTCCAATTTACCCATAATAGGTAGTTAACTTGACTTTTTTACTTTCCATCTTTCTTCTATCTACAAGTATTATTCAAATTCAATATTTCAAACATTTGTAAAATCTGTCATATAAATATAATAATATTATAATTGTAAATGTCTTTATCAGCATTTTAAGCTTTCGGACCTGGTCTTTTTTCAGCATTGTATTGTGTTATTCCTCATGTATATTTGTTTGTGCTAAATGTTCAAAATAAATTGTCAAGTTTCATTTACACTACCGCTTTATATGAAATATATCTTTTGTGCATATTTTGAACCGTAACGAGATTCAAATTACACCCGAGCTAGGTTGATCGTAAAAGGAAGTTATAATAAAGTTTGTATAAATTATCCACAAGATGCAGCGCATGTGTTGCAATTTTACGTATTTCGTAAGTGTTTAACAATTTAAGTTTACGGAGAAATTTATATCAACACTTAAAAGTGCATTTGATAGCTAAAAGACTGAACATTTAAGAAGGTATGTACCAAAATTTTGTCAAGCTTTTTCATTTATATTGGATAGCTATTCCGTTTGAATAAAATGTTTTATTTTAAGTTTAATGATCTCCTCAGTATAGGAAATACAACTTTGAATTTCATCTATTTGACGGTTTCATGTATACTGGATTATACTCTCTATTAAAACTTCATGATTTGAAATGCATAGCGGTTACTTAAACATGTCATATTTAAAATACACAATGTAAGTTAAAAATAAACGCATCAAAACGTATGACACAAAGTTAATACATGTAAATTTTATGAACAATGAAAACAATTAAAAAAATGTAGAGGATATAACAATGAGGTACAAAAGTATCGTTCTCATATTCACCAGACTATTATGAGTGTAGTTTACATACCGTGCATTAATGCCCAGCCCAGTGTTTAGTTTGAATTATATCTTATTTAAAATATTTACATAACGAAATAAACGCACAAAAACGGATCGACATTTTAGCTTAAAAACTCCTAAAACGACATAATGCTCATTTTGTCATTGTCAAATTGAGCTGAATTGACTTTATAACAAATTATTGACTGTTATAATGGTGATTAAGCGACAGTTTCTACTGTAGAATGTTTGAGATGAAATATAATCTGCCTTAAACAAATAAATGGCATGTTCAAAATGGTAGAAACAGACTTGAACGACATCAGCACACATGTCAGCTTTGTAATACGCAATATATCGAGGACGAATTCCATTTTGCATGTGTACACTTGTTTGTAATCTGTATCAGGAAATCCATACTAAATCCATTAAAACATAATTTATTTTATAAAACTTACGTAGTAAGAATTGCTTCAGTCATACGAAAAGTCTGTATTATTAGACTTATGTATCTCATAGATATTGTAAACGTTGAGTTAACGCTAGCGATGTTGATATAAAAAATGAAATTATTATGATATACATTTATTTTCTTTTTTCTTTAGCAATATATGCTCATTTTCTATAGAGGGCGTCCGTTGCTAAAGTTCCAGACATGTAAAGTGTTCCTTTTGAAAACTCCTTTGAAAATGCGAAGGTGTTTGTCTAGAATTTTTTTTTGCATTCGTGCTCAGCAAATAATATGCTTCTTATTCCAATCTTTTAATTGAAGGCACCTGCTTTTAAAAAACAAGCTTACATTTAGATCTTAACAACTGACCAACATGGAAAACAACATTTACAAGCTCGTATCGTCCATAACATATAATGCATAAAGAAAGTTTGCACACATATAGATATATTATCTAAACCTGAGAAAACATGTTTTCAGTTGTAAAACAATAAGATTACGTTTACACAGTAACGTGTTTAATATGACAAAAGTAGATTCGTGAAGTTAAACGATTTTAAGCTATGCAGGACGCTCCGCCCTTCTTTGGGTATAAACGAACTTCTGTAACGTATATGTACGAACAGGTATAAATCCCGGCGCCTCTCCCCTATTTCTAAATAGAATTAAATAATTTTGGTATCAAATGAAAGATAATTTCATAAGCTTTCTATGAATGCCTCAGAAATAAAAATGGATTAAATTGATGTTTTTAGTTTTGTTCATCAAAATTTATCATTTTTCCTCTGAAAATCACACTAAAAAAACACGGCGTCCACCCCCTCCCATTTTTGTAAAGTTTTAATCAATAATTTTGATAATTTTGGATTGAAAGAAAAGAATACTGTATAAGTTTTATAGTCTATAATTATATAATGCCTAAAAATAAAAAAATGAATTAAGAGGAAGTATTAAAATATTCATTTGAAAACAACACTCTCAAATTCAGTAAGAAAAACACGGCGCCCCTAGTTACTTTTTTATTTCTTGGTCAATTTTAATATTTTTTTGTCTATGAAAGAATCTTTCATGAACTTTCTAATGATGCCTTAAAAAATTAATTACGTAGAAGTATAAATTCAAATTTATCGTCGTTTATTTTTTCCCTCTCCTAAAACCACACTTATACATCCGGCAAGAAATTAATAGCGCTCCCTTCAGAAATTTAGTAAAATAATCAATTTTCAAAAATGAATATAGAATGAAAGTTAAGACCATAAGCTTCAAGTATATTAAAATGTACCGGTATTTATTTATACTGAAAACATCTTATTACAGATTGCACATGTGTGTTACGGATAAGAACTTGATTTCGGAAAGGAAATCTTGGTGGCCGCTTTAAAATCCTATTTTTTTCCAAATACTCGCATAAGTTTTGTTTAAAATGTAATTTGTGCCAAAACATTTTTCAATGATACCAATACAAATATTGGCTGTTTTGAAATTATTAGCTTAAAAGTGGTCAATGTTCCCATAAATTTTTTCAAATTGCCGATGCTGCTCAGGAAATCTTGAGGTTAAATGATATTAGTCAGTGCATAATCATTTTGTATAAAATTAATTGTAAAATCAGCAATTTTCAAGTCATGTAGTGCAGTGATAAAACAAATGCAACTAAAAATATGTTAGGAAGAATGTTAGTGATAACACAAATGCAACTAAAAATATGTTAGGAAGAATGTTGGGTGTTATCCTTCAGTTTTATTTAGAAATAGAGGAATGGCGCAGGGTTTTTATCTGTCGTAAGTACTTAAAGAGGGGAGGGGCGTCATGCATTAATAAAAAATTGTTTAACTTTGTGAATCTACTTTTGTCATATTAAACACGTTACTGTGTAAACGTACTTGCAGTTCTATAACTAGAAACACGTTTTCATAAACTCTTTTTGTCTGTATTCGAGTTATACAATTCATTTGTATATTTCAGGTACAAATAGATATATATATATATATATATATATATGTAAGAATTAGTGTGCAAACTTGCATATGTATTGTATGCAATGGAAGATACGAACTTGTAAATTTGTTGTTGTTTCCCATGTTAGGTAAATTGTTACGATCTATATGTAAACTTGTTATATATAGGAGGGAACCTTCAATTAAAATATTGGATAAATCGGCAAATTATGTGCTATGCACGGATACAATACAAATTGTAGGAATACAAGTCCGCATTTTTAAAGAACACTTTACATGCCTGGAATTTTTGCAACACACGCACTCCATAATTTTCCTATATACTGTACATCATTGAATAATATCATGTGATCAGCTATTAGTCATAGTTGATATGCAAAGCGTAACAATATATTGTATTGTATTCATTTCGAAATAAAATTTATGTTCTGTTCAATATAAATTGAATGTCGCTTATCCATGTATGCTGATTGTACTCTTTCTTATACAAATTTTGTTTAAACATAATTTGTAGTATTATTTTAGTTTTTGTCTCGTGCAAAATGAGAAATAATTGCGGAGAAGTCACTATTTAATACACATTTTTAAATTATAAGTCGTTTATATCGTTATGACTCAGGCAAAGTCACAACTGCTTGTTAAAACACTTTTTATTTCATTCCTTAATCAAAATACTTACCCTTTTATAAGTGTTATTGGCTAAAATCTTGTGATCCTATTGCAATATCTTTTCATTTATTCCTATAGAATGACTTACACTGCTATATGTTTTAACCGATTATTTGCCAGTTCAGACTTGTCTTGTCAAAGAGACATCGAGATAATTTTAGACGGGCGATGTCTTTTGACAGTATTAAAACATGTTAAATGAATGAGTCACACCCTTCACGCCGAATTGATTAGGCTACCCTCAGATAATGATTTGCTATTCTTGAACGGTCATTTTTGTTGCAAGATGTTTACTTTTGTATACAATCAAAGGAGATTTAAGGCGCACAAGAAAGCAGTCTAAGTAATAGACAACAACATTCTCAAGTTATATCATTCTGGCTTTGAACTAAGCAGTGAATTTCTGATGTTGAACAAGAAACCAGAGGTTTACTGGAAACTCACACGCGACTAAATTCTCACGCAGAAAAAAGATTGTTACTTATATACAAGTGTTTAAAAAATTCAGGAAAATGACTGACTTTGATGTTATTTAATCCCAGGACAGATTTAGTACATGTATGAAAACTATAACCAATTTCCATGATAAGCAGCACTGCCTGACTTATAATAGAAATATTCTCAGTTAACTAGCAAGTATTAGTTCAGTTAACACTATTTTTAGGTATTTTTATCCTTTTAGGGGGGTTTCATATTGTGAAGACAGATAAAAGGGTTTTTTAGTTTATTTATTTTTTTATTCTTTTTTATTTATTTATTTTTTTTTTTTGGGGGGGGGGGGGTTGTTGTTGGGGTTTTTTGCTTATGATACAAAAGAGTAGAACAGCAGCGCTATTTTCTTGAAGATGATATCCATCTACCAAATCTGAAATCATTATTTAAATATTTTTTAATAATTAAATATCAATAGATTCGTGTTTGTACTTTCTAAAGAAGGAAGACTCTTTCGTGTCTGAGGCACGATGTGCCCTAAAAATTTTCCATTCGAGATATTCTTGAGAAACGTGGATTACATTTTACAAAGGAAAAATGAAATCACTGTACATACAATGTCCTGTGATCTGCGATTACAAACATCTTCTACGTACATTCGATCGATGTACTTTTCTTTAAAGATGCAGCAAAATTATTTGCAGTTATCATCTTCATCTTTACTTGTATTATTAAGATTTGCAGCTTCCATATTTTGATTTTGTCAATCTATTTTACTATAAAATTTTAGAAAACAGCCATGTTAAATTAAGGTGTTCTAATTTTATTATCATTATTATAATTTCTTTTAGAAAAAGTGGATGTATTGCATAATATAAATATCTTTATTATGTTGTTATTTATTATGAGCACTGGATTGTAGTTTCAACGTAACATCATTAAAATTGGGTTTCTGTTTGTTCTCAAATTCATTATCTTTTACTGAGTTGTAATTCATTGTTAAATCAACACTTTCTGTTACCGGGTTTCAATTCTTTGTTAAACCAAAACTATCTGTTACCGGTTAGTAATTCATTGTTAAATTAACACCATCAGTTACCGGGTATTAATCCATTTTTAATTAACTATTTCTGTTACCGGATTGTAATTCATTGTTAAATAAAAACTATATGTTATTGTTTACCGAGTTGTAATGCATTGTTAAATATACACTATCTGTTACCGGATTGTATTTCATTGTTAAATTAACACTCTATGTTATTTTAACTGGGTTGTAATTCATTGCTTAATTAACACTATCTGTTATTGGGTTGTAATTCATTGTTAAATTAACACTATCTGTAACTGTTTGAAATTCATCCTTACATAAACACTATCTGTTACTGGGTTGCAATTTAGTGATAAGTCTACGTCGTGTTATGACAATTTGATGTATGCAATGTCATAAACACTATCTGTTACTGGGTTGCAATTTAGTGATAAGTCTACGTCGTGTTATGACAATTTGATGTATGCAATGTATGAAGGGAAATTTACCTCGATGTAAAATTGTTTGTGGTAAATAAGCCCTCCTGAGAAGCGATTACACTATATCATGAAATTATTTGAATCTCTTTACAAGTACGTTCATCACTTTGATGAAAATAAAAATTAACACTGTTAAATAAATTCAATGTATTGTTTCAGGATGTTCTTTTCGATTCTTGGCTATTTTTTACTCCAATGTAAGTATAATTTTTTATAAAGCATTTCTATAAACTTAGGAAATAGATATCAATTCTGAGTGCATTGTTGCATAATCATGCACGGTTTGAGTTAAAACGCGTAGTAATATAATCACGAAGGCCGATAGGCCTGAGTGATTAATAACAAAGCATTTGAACGAAAACGTGCATTATTATACAATAATGAATGAAGAATTAATATCTTTTTTCATTCTAACACGTCAAAAAAATATAATTATTATTATAAAGTTGGACTTTATGTTTGGTGGTTAAATTTCCTTCCGCCTCAGAGTTTCCAATAGAAACGTTCTTTAAAGGCTGTTCCAGTGGGTTGAAAAAAAACTGTCAATAAATCTTCCGTGTGTAGAAACATTTTGAGAATAACGAATTTTGAAAACGTTGATAAAACTTTGTTTGTTTATTTTATTTCACTCTATTTTTTTTTCAAGCGAAATACAAATTATCAAAAGTGAAATAAATGTAAAAGTTAACTCGTTTACGACATTAAAATAGCGTACTTGATTTGATTGCTTTGCACGTGCTGTTTGACGCTACATTGTGACGTCACGTAAACAACACTTTAAACGTCTTGACAGCGTTAACGACTAAATTAAAGATATTGGTGTCCGGACTCATTTTCTTAGTTAGACCATTTTTTTTCATTCTAGATAGTTTTCACAACAAAATTCGACAAAGAATTGTTTTTTATTTAAACAAAATGGCGCCCTCAATGTGAAAATACACAGGGAGATAATAAGAACGGCGAGTACATTCTTGTAGAATAATGTACGCTTCGGGCCTTCTTTGTTTATATAGAAAAATTGCCGATAGTGTTAGAATTTTATTTAGAATATACTCATTTGTTCTTTGTAGTTTTGTTGTACCGATTCTGAATGGGAAAATGTGTAAGAACGGTAAAATATTAAAATGTCACTAGAGTTTTAAATTACTATTGGTTCTTCATGTTGTTTTGCTTTTTTTTTAGTTTTTTTGTTTTTGTTTTGTTGACATGTTGCTACCGGTTTCGGAAATTAATTCACATTCGACGCGATAAGAAATTTGAATTTATAGTATCATAAAGCTAATATTGTATGTAATCAATTTGACACGTCACCACCAGGTATCCACTAGGTATTTATGTTGATATAAATACAACTGTAACAATATTCTGTTATGAAAGTCAATTAAGTTACATTGCCCATTTGGGACACGATTTTTAACAATTTAACTGCACTAGTTCTTTACAAAAAAAGGATTTTAAAATTTGCCGACATATGCATCTGTTCATTATGACACTATGGATTGACAAACATGCATTTACAGTTCTTATTTTGAATCTATAAAAATGTTATAAGTTAATTATACCTTATTTCAGCACTGGTAGCACATATTGTCAATTGTCAAGCACCAACATGGCAATCACCTACAGATGGTACTACTTATACTCTAGACATTAGTCTAGCTGAAGCATGTTCAGCAATTGAAAATGTTGCTGGTGACGATTTTTTAAGTGCGTTTTCAAGCGGGGATATTGTTTATTATAGGTAAATATAATTTTTTTTTAAGTTTGTAAAAGTATCATAATCACGGTAGGATATCACGTGACTTTTACGGTACCGACAATATGGCGCCTAAACACGTCGCTTCACATGCATTTTCAGGTAATACTTTATAGTATCCCTTATACTTACGTACGAGACTTGTATATTAAATGAACTTCGATATAAATGAAATAATCGCCGGGGTGCATATATTAGTTATATGTAAGAGTATATATATAGTATATAGAGTATATGTATAGAGTTATAACATTGCTGTAACAGATTACGTCAAAATTGTTGTCACAGGTATGGCGTTTTACTATTAAGATTTTAAAGACATTTAAATATATGTCCTGTAGTTTTTATTACTTTTTTGATAAAAGACCAATTCTGATATTCTGTAGGTTGTTTTTATATTATATTTTATACTAAAAAGTTGTTCACATTCAACTCAAATTTAATATATGGATATGTCATAGAATTACGCATGTCAAGTCCGAATTTAGTCATGATTCGATGATCTTTGACAGAGTTATCCTTCTTGAATTTTGAAAAGAATAGGAAATTTTTGTTTATGTGCATTATCAGCCCCCAACTGTTGTACATATTCGACTTCTAATTTGAAATAAAGATGAATCATAGGAATAAGCTGGCAAGTTAGAATTTGATTATGGTTCGGTGATTTTGGCCAAAGTAATTCCTCTTTCAGATTCCGCACTGTTACTTTTTTAGGCATGCATTTAAGGTTTAAGTCGCATATGCAGGTATTTAGTCAGAAAATATAGAAAGTTCGAATTTGGTTTTGGTTCGATGATTTTTGACAGAGTTATCCTTCTTGGACTTAGAAAAAAATAAGACATTTTCAGTTTCTGCTCCTACTTTTGTAGGAATTTTTATACGAGGTTGACATTGCATGTACTTGTTTTTATCAGAAGTACAAGTCAAGTTATAAGTTGTTCATGATCAAATGTTTTTGACAGGTATCCCCTTTAAACTTGGAAATGATAAAATTTCACAATATCTGATAATTATCTCGGATACAAATATGCAATTTGCAATAGGTTAACACTGAATAGTTTCAGGGTCTTGAACGTTCTATACTATTGAACTTAGCATTGAGTAATTGGAGGGCCTTGAACTTAGAATGAAAATATTGTTTCTTAAAAAAAACTGGAACTAAATATCATTATAACATTTGAAATTTTGTCTGTATGCGAGGGCATTCATAGTGTTAAGACTCATTTTTTGTTTTTTTCTGGATTTTTTTTTCTGCTTTAGATTTTGTTTATTAATAAAATAATTTACATATGTTAAACACTAAAAATAATTTAAAAAAATAACTTGTTATATAAAAGACTAATTAATTGTTGGACATAGATGTTTTAATATTCTTAATTTACTATTTCAGTTGAACAATAAAGATGCTTTACATTTGAACATTACATCTTTTTTAAATTTTTAAAGGAATGTGAACTGGAATTAAACAAACAGAACACACATATAATGTTTGGAGGCATTGTGTCATGATCTCGACTTAAATGCGAATAGGATAAACGCAGTACCCAAGAGCTTAATATTTGCAGAACCATATTTCAGGGGTCCCTGATTTTATGTCTTATGTAAAGGCTGCACGCACAGGTGTACATCAACGGAAAAATACATGTATTAACGGAAAAATCCCATAAGCTGAGACCCCCTTTTGCACGTTTTTGATATTTTTGCGCCATGTGTAAATGTTCACGTATTTAACATTTTTATTGTTCAATTGAAATAGCAAATTTGAAATATCAACACATTATGTGTCCAACAATTAATTAGTCTTTCGTTGGACAACTTATTTTAAAATAAGTATGTGTATTAGATACGGTCATGTAAATCCTTTTCTAAAACAACCTACAGAATATCTGAATGGGACTTTTTTAAACTGAGTGATTTAATCTAGAGGACTTATATTTGAATGACTATACCTATGACACACACTATTTGCTCGGCTGTTAAACGTTAATTAGGCCAAGTGCCGAATGGTCATAATATGGTCATAAAGATCCTTCCGGGAACGAAATGTTTTCCCAAATTATCAAAAACAATATCCGAGCTGGAACCTTCCATATCTGCAAAAATAAAGAATGACTATAATGCAATTGTACTTAAACTAAAATAAAAGACCACCTACTTATATTTAAGACTTTTGTTTTAATTCCGTTGATTAATTCTTTGATATCAAATTTCATTTAGAATTTATACGCAAGAATTCATTTTGCTACCTAGAAGGGTTTTGTTTGGGGTCCGCCTGTGCTTCTTGCCATTGGTTCTTGTTGCTGGGTCATATGGGGGTTGCATTCATTGAACGCCGCCTTTCCTTGTTGATCTTGTTTATCATATTTTTTTTAATTGTGTCCACGACTCTGTGACTCTATTCTATGAAAGATAAATGCATCTCTCATAATTTGTTTAATTAATATCTAGGCTATCACTTGAAAAGATATTACCTGCACATAAATAGTTTGTGGGAGTTATCAACAAAACAAGAACCAGTGTTCATTACCCAAATCATTTTTCTCTCTTGTACTGGAACAAAAAATGACTAGTCAACATTTAACATGACTAATATTTACATTTTCAATTAAATAAATTCTATGACTTTTTTCTCTTTTCTTACATTAATTATTTAAGAAAAATATTAATTTTGCGTGAATGTTACCCTCAAAATAATTGTCGACATTTAAAATTTCGCTTGAATTATTTAGTGTTTGTAAACACTGTAATCACTGGGATGGAAAATAAAGAATAGGCGACAACAATTCTTTATTCCACGTAGGCTGTTTTACGTCTCGTGTGTAAGTATACGGTATTATAATAAAGAATTACCTGGAAAACACATGTGAAGCGAGGTGTTTAGACCGCCATATTATCAGTACGCGTTACCTTAAAAGTCACGTGATTTCCATCCGTGCTAATGAGAAATTTTAGAAGATATTGAATAATAGTAGGTGCAATACTGAAATAATGAAACGATTTGAATAAAATTATATTTTTTCGAGCCTCAGCTTTAAATTGCATAGTTATTATAGTGAATATTCAACATACTTGATACTGAAGATGTATAACGAGTCGAGTTGAATAAAAATATATTAAGGCGAGCCTCTGGTGAGTATAGTTATATAAGATTTTGAATGAATGTATGTAGAATACAGAATTAATTGAACTAGCTGAATAACATTATATTATGCCAGCCTCTAAATATATACACGACCGTGTAATACTATCTTAAGAAGTTGCGAAAGAGACACGATTCTATGATCAACGAGTTCAATATCTTACGTATTGAAACTACACTCAATGTAAAGTAAGAACTATTTCGGTAGAAAGAGCTGACTCCAGATTGCGTTGCAATGTCAACAGTTTAGTTATGCTTACATAAACTAATACTCGATTGTCGAAGATTTGTTACATAAGATATCTACAAGCAAGGTTTTACGCACGCGTAAAATGGCTGCAAAAGAATGTCATCAGTGCGTGTGTTGAAAACTAAAGGGAATCGTTTCATTGCGTCCGCGCTAGTAGTTGTTTCATACTATGGCAGGACGGACCCGTACGCTTCAGTTTATGTCATGTGCCAATGACAGTGTAACTCGTAATAATTTATCATAAAGCTTGAAACATTAATTGATAAAATCTCGTTTAAAAGATACATGTATATAACCTTTCAATAAGCAAATGACCAACGATAAAACATCAAAACATTGAGATACCGTAGTATATGAGACATTAAAGGCATCAGACCCGTTATCAAATCTCACCAAAATAATACAGCACACATGTGACCTCTCTATACTATAAAAATTGACTATTTAAGTTTATTAAAACTAAACTATGTCGATAAATCACTATCTTAATCATTTCAAAAGAAAATACAAACTTTTAAAAGGACTCGTTTCATAGTTTCTAAATGTCATGAAATTGATATACAGTTGACACTGTATTAAAAGACAACTCAAGCGACTTCCAAAAAGTGGTCTCTTAATAAATGGTATCTCAATGGAATTCTGGAAAATTCGAGACTTTTTTATATCACCAGTGATATATATAAATCTTTTTATAACAACACAAACTGTACAATATTATGTGTGTATGTATAAAAGTTTCATAATTACATTTATGCTCTTTTTTAAGTCATCAATCTGTGTTCGCGACTTTTTGTTCCATGAAGTATCGCGGCGAGATAGAATTAAATCAACCGCGACCTTTTAAAAGTGACAGTTCCATGCATAATAAGTCGACACTTATTGCTCTACTACATCTAAGATTTAAATGGCGTCATGAGCTACCTACAGTAGTAGGCATATATTTATATAGTTTAGTCTTCTACTCGACTTTTTAGGACAAAAGTGTAAAAAAACTCGAAGGTTTCTTTAAAATGCAACATTTTATACCATTTTAAAAGTTTCACGCGATATTTTATAGACTGGCGGTAAAAGTTCTCGCGACTGTGAAACTGGACGCTACAGACCACCATAATTGTACTTAATTAAATTATGATTTGATTCTTAATTTTTTATTAATTTTACCACTTGAAATATCGGGAGAGTTGTGACTATATATCAAACTACTATAGTCACGAAGGAGGAACTGTTATATGAATGATAACTTGTCACAAAGTGCGTTAAATGCAGTGAATATAATATCATTTTCTGTTTAGATGACTTGTAACAGGTTAGAAATAAAATTTATTATAATAAAATTGCATGACGCCTATAGCTGCATTTCATTTCAAGCCTTTTTTCACAACTTTTGATTTTCCTAAATATTTGGACAACATGATATCGCAAATGAAAACGTATACAATGTCGAAAAAATATTAACATAGTAGCAATAAAAAATTGTAAAATAATTTGTAACTTTTAAAGAATTATGTTCGTTATGACTCAGTGAAGTGCGGTCGTCTGCCTGATGTTACAAAATGCATATGTTACTGTGACACGCTCTTTGGTGTTAGACTTTGACACTAAATGCGTAACGCACTATGAAGTTGGACCCCAAAGTACGTAACGCAGTTTTGGGTGGGACCCAAAAGTGCATTTGACCCTAAAGTGGGGAGTTTAACGGCTGATTGTATGTATTGTTTATTTATATGTCTTGTTATTCGTTTAAGATGTCTATTGTATTTCATCTGTTGTATTTTCGCATTGTTTCATTATGACTTTTTTCTCTGTTATGCTTTGGCTTTTTCGCATTGTTGTATTTTGACTTTCGCATTGTCGTTTTTCGTTTTTTAGAAATGTTGTGTTTTCACATTTTCGTTTATTCGCCGAAGCAATTCAAACATTTAACAATGAAAAAATGCTACAATGCCAAAATGTAACGATGCAAAATGTAGCAATGCGAAAATGCGAAGAGACAACAAAAATATGTTTTGTGTTCTATTTTTGTTTTCATATTTTTGTAATTTGAAAGCGAAAAAGCGAAATTTAAATACGACGAATATACGACGGTTCCTATGTGTCGTATTTTTGCCGTCCTTCTGTCGTTGTTTGCTTTTTTGCCTCGAAAACGATAAAAAAGCGAAAACATGAAGAGACAACAAAGTCAACTTTGTCGTCCGTTCGTGTTTCTGCATTTTCACATTTTGTGACAAAGAAACGAAATACGACATGGCGTAAATCAACCACCATAGAAACATAACATTTTGGAAGAAACAATCGTATTACACGTACCTGCTCAGAAACATTTGTTCCCGGTGGAACGGAAAATATTCGCTTTTGTCGAATTGCACGGTCACACGTATTTAAAAGTACTTAAAAGCCGGTGTCAAAAATCATGATTGATCGATCGAATAAGGGACGTCCTTTACTTCGCCATGCATATGTTTCAATCAAATTTGGAGCATAACATGGAATCTATGGCAGCCATAGGTGACGCATTCGCGACGATTAATTTATTTCGCTATAGTTGTTGAAAAGATATCGCACTTTATTAGTTGTCTTTGTAAGGTATATACTTCTCAGTCTCAACATGTGTCTATTTAGCTTTTATCTACGCTCCTCCTTATATGCCAAATTCATATTGCTTCCTGCTCAGCATCGAACATCTCGCTCCATCTCTTGCCATTTTGCTCCACTTCTTTCGAAAGATATCGATATACAAATTTACGAAATCCACCAGAAGTAATTTATATTGCACGAAGTTCTTGTCACGGGTTGATATTTTTCTAATACACTTTTGCAAAACATTCGAATGGTAGAGCATCTAAATGGTAAGTTCAATATTCTACAATCATTGTTCACTTCGTCAGGAAAAATTTTCCCGGGGTTCATATAATTTTTCTTTCTATTACAGCTTAGATCATTGGAACCCTTAAACAGTTTAACACTCCCTCACGAAACTACATTTGTCGTTTTTCGTAAAAATACAACTTAAAAAAATAACAAAACAAAAACATAAACAATATTTACAATTAGCCGTTTATATCGACCTTTCGCCTGTTTTTTCTGTACACCACAATTTTGAAGTGGAGCGATAGGTTGCCAGGCGTGTAGAAGGAGACAACGTGTTTACGCATGATTTATTTTTAGGTTGGTTCCTCGAAATAAAATCATGGTTAACTACAGACAGTCGCACAGTCCATTATTTGTATACAGAGATAAGAAAACACTGTCTTTCCATGTGAAGAAAATGTAAATAAAAATTTGCAACAAAGCCAGAAATTTAAATTTGGTCATATAGTAAAAAGCTGTTGTATGTGAATGTTTTTATGCACTTTTGTTCTTATTGACGACTCGAAAAATAAATCAAGTCATTCGGTAGTAAACAGGCGTCTTATTCAAAATCAAACTCGGCTGCTTCGAAGACTTATGATACTACTCTACGTCAACAGAATAAAATGTTCTGTAACAAAATATGATTCTGCTATTTTAAGTAGGGGTTTATCCGTTTAGCAATGATTTCGTGCATCCGCTTTTCGTTGTTAAATTAGATCCATATTTAATTCATACAGAAAATGGAAGTGTAAAGATTATATTGGTTGGAAAGAAATACAAAAGAAATACTTTTAAAATTCCTCGAAAAGAATATGCCATCATTCATCTCAGAAATAGATTTATTGATCTTTGACATTGATAATTATAATCATTGATTATATGAAATATATTCATATCTTGTTTTTTGCTGATAGAAATATATAAGACATAGGCTTGGTTGGTGGATATATACTTTACTGTGATGTTTGTGCTAATAACATTTCTAAACTCAATAAAAAAACATTTTCATGTAGATGTGTTCATTAATCAAATTAAAGTTTGTGTGTAATCCTTTAACCCCAGGGATTATCGGTTCGATCCTTACTTTGGTCACGACCATGTTTCTTCATATGACACCAGTACTGGTTTGTTCCAGGAAGCCGACCCGAAAGTGATCAATATAAGTTGCAAGAACTTGTTTCGCAATCGAGCTTAAAATAATTTAATTAAACTAAACTTATCCATTTCATTATTTTGTTGTTTCTTATGATTTTGCTTTTTATTTTAGAAAAGTGTCTGAATCACCGGACGATAGTGCGTTCAGTGTGACAGATCATTTTTCATCCGACAAAATGATCAAGTGTGAAAAGAAAAATATCAAAGCCTCTCAGTATCAAGTGATTCTTGGGTAATAATATTGTTCTTATATGCAAAAAGCATGCAATTGTTTTCAGACTTCTTCGATTTCAAATCACGCATAATTGTGTATCGCTTAGTGTTTGGTAATCAGCATTAATGAAATGAAATTAAATCTTAATGAGTGAGTGAGTGAGTGAGTTGGTGAGTGAGTGAATAAGTTGGTGAGTGAGTGAGTCAGTGAGTGAGTGTGATTGAGTGAGTGAGTGAGTGTTGGTGAGTGAGTGAGTGAGTGAGTGAGTTGGTGAGTGAGTGAGTGAGTGAGTGAGTGAGTGAGTGAGTGAGTGAGTGAGTGAGTGAGTGAGTGAGTGAGTGAGTGAGTGAAGAAAAAAAGAAAACTAATTTTGATGAATGAACGAACGGATACATTAGACATCAGAAGTTAAAACCTATACATAAAGGACATTAATTTTAACCTATGTATTGTTATGAAAGGAACATCAAGTGAGATCTAATTTAATTTTGCCTGCGGTGATATACAAAAGTACGCTTATTTGCATATTCTGTGACAGTAATCATATCTTTTCAATATAATCGTCCATAAGATTAAAAAAAGAGTAAAATACATTTTTACGATTCTCATTTCTACAGACAAACGCATTTTCTTTTCTTTCTTTTTTTTCTTTTTTTTTTCGTTTTTTTATTTGTTCATTTCCTTCCACAGTGCATACTACGATCCAAGAACAGCCGACACTGAAGCTACTATAACAGTGACAATAAATGTGCAAGGATTACCAGAACGTAACTATCCTGCTATATTACTTTTACGTGTTATGGTTTTATTTCAAACGTTAATTTACTCATACAGTGAGTGAAATATCTATGTAATATTTAAACCTATTTTGTACTTTTTCTTGTAAGTATGCAAAGAAAATCATATTTCGTTTAGTGGCGCATCATGAAAGAATATATTTTCTTCATTTTTAAAAAGGTCATACATGTTGGGTTTATATATATATATATATATGGCATATTTCTGTCACCAGATAACCTGATAACTTAATAGTTAATTAAGAGGTTAACTAGTTACGTAACTAGTTAACCTGATACCTACATTGTAACTAGTTAATTAAGAGGTTAACTAGTTACGTAACTAGTTAACCTGAACACTAACTAGTTTATTAAAAGGTTAACTAGTTACGTAACTAGTTAACCTGGTAACTAACTAGTTAATTATGAGATTAACTAGTTACGTAACTAGTTAACATGATAACTAACTAGTTAATTAAGAGGTTAACTAGTTACGTAACTAGTTAACCTCTTAATTAACTAGTTAGTTATATGGTTATCTGGTGGCAGAAATATGCCACCATAATATATATATATACAAAAATTTATATTATGTTACAGATATTTAAATGACAGGACAAGAAAACTACACATCACGATAATCCAATGAAAAACGATGTTACAAACGTGCAGTATTATAAAATGAATAATCTTCTGTTCTAGAACTAAAATTATCTAGATATACAGATGTGTAATGTGACACCATTTTATATGTGGTTTGTTGTCAATAAGGATGCTACATACTATCCACAAAATTATTTATGGTATTATTAACCTTCTACTTTGGACCAATTCTTTTTTAAAAAGTCAAATAGTTGATCTCATGAAATTCTGGGTTATAGAAAAAAAAGTTTAAAAACATTCTTTGATTATTATTAAGTATTCTGAATTCGATTAAAGCAAATGGCATCTGTTATAGGGTCATATGACTTTACGCGGGATGTTCAGAATGTTTTGAGACTGATCGGATTTTTTCTGTTACAATATAACTATTAATGCATTTTATCAAATATATAGATGATATTTGTTTGTTTGGCATGTAAGATTGAAATATAATTTCACTGAGTGAACACCAGATGCAATATTTTCACGAGTGGCGTAGCCACGAGTGAAAATATAATAGCTGGTGTTCACGAATGAAATGCATTTCAATCTTGTAAGTAAAACAAATAAATTTTCTTTTTATTTCATGCTTTTTAAGTGATTTTAAGTACTTTTTACTGATTTTGCCGCGTAACGTCGCGCATTCTCCTTTTTGACGTCATCACATCATGACGTCACCTCATCAATTTTGAAATATAGTTCTGTTAAATTTCTCTATCTTTGTTACATTTTTAACATGATGTATGGTGACATCGACTTTTAATCCTAAAGAAGGAAACTTTACGCATGGCGGCATTTATTTCTGCCTGTTATTCCATTTAGTTATGATTTCCTTTTCATCTGCATTCAGATATAGTTCGGCCACAGTGAAAATTATATATAGTTGATTACGATTTTTTGTTTACAGTCAAATTTTGGTAGTTGCACAGATAAAATATATGCCATGAACGTAACAAATTATATAAATTTTAATCTTTCCGTCTTTAATTCCGACATTCTGTCCCAAAACTTTTCGAAAAATAAATTGACAATGTTACTTTAAAAAAATTGCATGACGAACAAATAATTAAATCATTATTATTTAAACGTAAACGATACATTTGATTGGATAATCGTGAGTGTATACAATATATATACATTGGATAGAGCTGCTGTAAAGATTTTGAAAGGCGGCGTAAAACAAGTTGTTTACAATACACATAATAAGCTTACATCCGCATTATATTCTTCGTCATTTTATTCATCCGCTTTTAATTATTATTATTATTATATTTATTATTATCATTATTATTATTATTATTATTATTATTATTATTATTATTATGTTGTTGTTGTTGATGATGTTGTTGTTGTTGTTGTTTTTTGATGTTGATATTGTTCTTATTGCATAATTGTATGATACAGTGTAATTTGGCATTCCATTTTATTTAGTTCCGCCATTGTTTTCTCGTTTAGGGCACACGCTTTTATTACTTGGGACCATACGCCGCTTTTCATGGAATGGCACGGAAGTGTCACATTGAAGGTTCCATGATAACCGCCGTATGAACACATCTTTGGATTGTTCAATTTCAAATTTTTTACTATTTCATGTTTAAATGTTGAATTCTGCTTAAGCCGGTGCTAGGGGGCGTGGACGGTAACTTGCACTTTCCAATACCGTCCATGAACAGGCTCAATCAAACTGAGCCGGCAACATTTTCAATTTTGCCGTGTAGGGCTTGGGCTTTCTTTAGGGATTCTGTATTTATCTATTTCACATGCTTGACATAAAAACCAATGGCCGTAATTTATGTTAAAATATAATTATGACGAATCTTTAAAACTTTTGTACAGGTAAGAAACCTGTATGGGTCAAGCCGAATCCCGACTCAACTGCTGATGACCACGTTATAGATTTATTAGAGACTTCTAAAGCTGGGGACGTTATTCTGACACTGTCAGCCACTGACGCCGATACTGAGACTGCAGGTTTATCATTTAACATGGATAAAAGTGTGAGTTATATAGTATATTAAAATCTTTTTAATCTTTATATAGTCTTTTTTATGATATCATTTGTTAAGTGTTTGGCATCCCACCTCCCCTGATGTTTTCATCTACTGTCCACTCATCAATTCACCACCCCTCAACTGCAAGCATAATCAAAGTTTGCCATGCAATTTCAAAAACCTACTCCTAATATAACTGTGTTTCATTTGTTCATATTGCATGCCGTCAAAACAAAACCATTAAAAGTAACAGAAGTATTTATCTGTTGTAAGCTTTAAAGGCGAAGCAAAGGTTGAACCCTGATGTCATTGTAAATCAAAATGTTTCATGCATTTTCAATGGCTTTCTCTTATTTTTAAGTCATCTAGCGAGGTTTAAGTGAAGGTTACATCAATTCTCAATAAATATCTAAAGGGGTTAAGCGCATGTTTGTTCATGTTATCAGGATGTAAAAAATCAAGTGTTTTATTCGTCGGCTTATATTTTTTTCGCTGAATTTATATTCAAACATTTCGGAGAGCTGTTTTAACAGAAATATGTAATACTTTAACAGAGCCTTATCCCTGTTTGTCCAAAATGTCTCTACCTTATAATATGTTCGTTACTGTTGTCATGATCATATCGTATTAAGCAGTTACTAAAACTGTTCTCCTAGTATTTTCGACAGTCCTTGACTTGCTTTTTGACCTCTAATTCTTTACATAACGTTTAAAAAAACATAGCTATGCTAGCAACTAATTGTTTAATATGTCTGTAATGTATTTATATCATCATAATTATATAGGTTCAGGCTACTAGAGACGTTTTTTTTGTGGAAGGAAACGAATTAAAAGTTAAAGCTGGCGTAACAACTGACACATTTGATATAGAGAAAGTGGGCGTTGTTGAAACGTATGCGATTATTTTAGAGTAAGAATATTTTTTCATAAACTGATGTAAAATTTAAAAAACAATCTTTATTGTTCTAAATGCTGGAATTTAAATTTATTTACATTGTATTTAATGTAAAATATTAGTTTTTTGATATGATAACATAATTTATCTGCATTAATGTGAAAATATTATATTAAAAATATTTTCTTTAACTCTTATATCGGCTCGAAAAAAAATTAAAACACATGTTTTTCTTTTTGTGATGTAAGAGTGAGTGATGGGACATCAGCAGAAACGTTATTAACATCAATTATTTTACAAGATGTGAATGATAACAAACCAATATTTAGCGGCTCATTTACAGCTTATATTGGAGAAAATGCTGAAGCAGGTATGTTTTTTATATAAATTATTGTATATTTTGTTATTGTATTATATCGCAAATTTTCCTGAGTATATATCTTATGAATCGATAAAAATGATGAAAGTAATCTTGATGATAAATGACCTAGCTCAAGGACTTTATTTGTAAAATGATAATTTTAAATTATTTAATATATCGTTATTACAATTTCGAAAAATTATTTGAGCTGCAACAAACCAAGATAATGCATCCGCGCAGTCTGATCATGATCCATGCTGTTCGCCTACATACCCTATTACAAATAGAGAAATTGATAGCGAACAGCATGGATCCTGGTCAAACTGCGCGAATGCACAGGCTAGTCTAGATCCATGCTGGTCGCAAACGCATTATCTTGGTTTTCTCATAGCGCGGCTCAAAGTTTTAATATCTGCTGTTTCTGGGGGTCATTAAATATACAATAAATGAAAATAAAGATATTAAACAAAAGAGAACAACGTTTCCGAAATGCAGCGCTTCAAAGGAAACAAGAAAGAGCACCAAAGATGCATCACAGAGGTAAGGGCGGGTGAAGGAACGGTTTATTATTCACGAAAAGGATATATTTTAATAAATAGAAAAGACATATGTCAAGTGGAGGGATGTTATATGATTAGGAAGGATGGAAGGGCAAAAAAGGAGCGGGAAATACCTCCCGAAAAGATGAAAAAGAAAATGAATTGCCGGTACAAGCACTTGAATTTACACAAAACATGTAAAGAAGAAGGGTGGTGTTTTACTTGGAAATTAAACCCTGTTAATTGTGCATCAATCTGCGCACATAAAATGTTCCTTTATCTGATGCAGTGTAATTAAAATGATATTGAAAAATATGTATAAGATTTTACTTTTAAATGTTTTATTCAGTATTGTAATTATTTGATAAAAATGATTCAATACTATGAAAAAATAAACATATGATAGGTGATTGAACACTATAATTAACTAGTAAATCAGCACATTAAATTTGTAAACAACTTGGTCATTATCTCGAAAAGATGTATCATTATTTATTATCTTAATTATTACTTGTCATAAGAGTTTTTTGTTTTCTTTGTTTTTTATACATAAAACTTATTAAGAAATTAAGGCAACGAGATAGACAAATAATACTTATTGCTAAGCTATACATTTTTTACAGGTACAACTGTTATCACTATCACAGCATCGGACGCAGATAAGAGTGCAGAGTTTAACGTAGTTTCGTTTAAAGTTGACGGTAATAAGACTTTTCTCCAATCACTTGCAAGATGCATTTTTTATTCAATATGATAGAAATACACGACATTAAAAATCAAGAACAAATACGAGTTGATACATGTAATAAGGCATATAATAAGGCCCGGAAAACTGGTAGGCCCCGCCTACTATGTGTTAACCTAAAACGATGTCATGGCACGATACTTAATTTTCTCGAGATTAACGCACCATTTAATATAGGTTTGGTCACCAAATTGTTAATCGATTTTAACACGATCCGAACTGAAAATAGCACAATTTAATTTTCATTATCTTTTTCATTTTAATTCCTTTCGGATTGTTAAGTTGATCAAAGAATTTTTATTTTATGTTTAAGGCTTTGAAACATTCGTGGATTTGCAAAGTTTGTTCGCAATTTAAAAAAGCATGTGCACATTTTAGTTGAAGAAATCATGATTTATGTTAATTCAGAAATTGTTTTAAAAGTGTATACTATGTCAGGTGTACACGTCGATTCATTTATGAATTGTTTCAATTTTACTAAAATGATGGCGCGTACAATATGTAGAATATGGTTGTAATACTGTTGAAATGGAAGCAGTAAATTTAATTCTGGTATATTTTAAACACGCTTAATATCGCGTATGAATAATATAATATATATATTTACGACTTTTATTTTACTTATCGTACGTAAATTTGATTGCTAAACGACAAGCTTAATATCTTTCTGGAACCGTGTAGCCTAATTTTTGTTAAAACTATGGCAACTTCAATAAATCTTAAGTTAGTATATAGTTGCCATTATTTCGTTCTTTTATAAATACAATTAGCGATATACAAATGCATGACATCTCAAAAAATATAGTTGTTTGGTATTCTACACAAAGGTTATAGCATTTTTGTTGTTGTTGTTATTTCAATCAATGAAATTTGTGTTTAAGGGGTACTCGATTCAGTTTTCATATTAGATGGTGACAAAATTTTAGTAGCAACCGGCGCTACTTTCAGTCGTGCCACTACTCCAACTTACAAATTTACGATAGAAGCTTCCGACTCCACTAACACTGAGACACAAGAGTTTACCGTGAACAAAAAAGGGCGGGGTTTTGTTTTTTTTCCCTTGTTTGTTTTTTTTTGGGGGCCAAATGTTAAAAAATTTTTAGTCATTTTAGGCGTTCTGCGCCCAAGTAAAATTTTAACAGGAAAACCAAAATAATAAGTTAAAAACCAATTTCTCCCAAATAACGACTGAAAAACCCAAATAAAATTTTGGGGGCCCCAACAAATTTAGGACAAGGGAAACCATTAAATTCAATGTTGGGAAGATCAGAGTCACAAGTTTTTTTTTTCCCAAAGGGCCCGATTAAAATCGAACCCGCCCCCAATGGATTATGTCGAAAAATTTTCAGAATCAAAAAAAACTATTATTGGGTTAAATTTATTCATTTTTGTCCCCTAACTTTTGGGGCCTGGGGTTTTAAAAGGAAAAGAAAATTTTGGGTCCAGAAATTTAAAAATTCATCGATGAGACTATATCATGAGAAACAACATACTGACCCAAAACTTCTGATTCAACATTTCACAATTTGCTATCTTTTACCTTACTATTTTATAAATTATTAAGAGTTTTACTTTCCATAAGTGGGATCCTTTTGTAAAGCATGCTTAAAGATAGTCTCTTGCCTGCAATAGAGGTTAGAATCGACCTCTTATTTTGTTGGCGGCAACAAATTTAAACACATGCGCGGGATTAACTGGAAAATCGGCAACCTCAAATCATAGTCTTAAGCGTTCGCTATTCAGACGGTACTTATTGTGAATTTGTTCTCAGCATGTTGAGGGGTTTTATCCCAATTAAAAGAGGGACAAATCCTTTCAAAACATTTAGCGTGGTAAGGGATAATTTATGATGGTGTTGATTATAGATACATTTTACGAGAACACATCACAGGTGTTTAAAGTAGTAGTGTTTAAACATTGTCCTATGTAAATAGTTAAAAACTTTGAAAAATTGATAAAGGCTAGAGGTTAGATATTTTGCATGAAACATTGTGTAGTAATAGTGATAAACAGAATCCCTAAAGAAAGCCCAACACGGCAAAATTGTAAAATGTTGCAGGCTCGGTTCGATTGAGCCTGTTCATGGATGGTTCTGGAAAGTGCAAGTTACCATCCACGCCCCCTAGCACCGGCTTAAGCAGAATTCAACTTTTAACACGAAAATGGTAAAATTTTGTGTTAGGAACATCAGCAGATGTGTTCATACGGCGGTTATCATGGAACCTTCAATGTGACACAGTAGTGCCAATTTATGACAAGCGGCATATGGTCCTCAAGTGAAAGAATGCTTTTGCCCTAAACGAGAAAACAATGGGCAAGATTGTTCAAAATGTAGCCCTGGGATCAAATTTGGCCCCGCCCCGGGGGTCATTGATTTTCAGTCATTATGTACATACTATGATAAAAAAATAAAAACTCTTCTTGTCTGAAGGTACAAGGCTTAGAACTTTGACATTTTGTATATAATATCATCGATGGGTCCTCTAACAAAGTTGTTTAAATTTCGTATGCCCCTAGTGTTAAAATTGCCCTGCCCCAGAGGTGAGTGATAGTTTTCTTTACATGTATATAGTAAAAACTTGAAAATTCTTCTTCTCTGAATTGATAAAGGCTAAAGGTTAAATATTTAGTTGATACAAATTTATTTTAGTTCGATTGTGTTGGAAGCTGTAAGCTTATTGAAACACTCTCGAATCCATTCCTGTAACCAACCAGTACTAAGCAATGAATGTAAAGTTTCTTGCTCAAGGAAACAACGGCTTGTCCCTGACAGGGTTTGAACCCACGTTAGATATTTGGCATAAGACTTTTGATAGTGAACCTCTACCAATCTACCAAGATTGTTCAAATTATAGCCCTGGTGTCAAAATTTGCCTTTCCCGGGGTCATTGATCTATGTACATATAGTAAAAAATTAAAACATTCTCTTGTCTTAAGGTACAAGGCTAAGAGCTTTGATGTTTGCTTTATAATATCATCCATAGGTCCTCTACCAAAGTTGTTCAAATTTTGCCCCTAGTGTCAAAATTGGCCCTGGCCGGGGCATTAACTTTCTTTATGTTCACATAGTAAAAACTGAAACTAAAACGGATGTTTTCTAAATTGGAGAAAGCTACAGCCTAGATATATGACATGAAATGTTGTTTGGTGGGTCTGTATCAAGATTGTTTGAATTAAACCCTTGGGCCAAAATTTTGTCTTGCCCAAGGTTACAGTGACCTACTTTTTTGTCCTTTAATGAAATTAAGACTATGTGCACAGTCTTAGTTGTAAAATTGAAATTTAATATCAGGTGACCTAGATTTCGATGATGTGACCTACTTTCTTGTCCTTTGATGTGCAGCTATGAAATTTGTATCATGTGCACAGATTAAGATGTAAAATGAACTTTTATATCAGCTGGCCAAGAATTTGACAAAGTGTCTAACTGTGTTGTCCTTTGATATACAGTCATGGAATTTTGGCCATGTGAAATATGACCTTCACCACGAAATTCACTAGCCTCAACTGCATTGATAGATTCCCACTCTGATCTTTTATTTGAATAACAATACATTTAACCACTAACCTGAAGAAACAAAAAAATCTTTCCCTACATTATTATTTAGTGTTATATTAATGCGGTGGCATAGCATTTTTTCACAAATGCAATCTCGTTTTTTGTCTAAGATCTTTTGATAAAGTTGTAAAATATCATAAAGTCGTGAAATATATTGTAATTTTGGTTTCTTTTGTGACAACAAGCGCCAGTTTTTGTTGACCCGGATCCGGATAGCTCAAAAGAAAAGCATAAAATATATATGCGTGAATCTCATCAAAAAGGAGATACAATTATGACACTGTTAGCTATTGATCAGGATTCAGATGATAGTGCTTTGATTTACAGCATTGGGGATAGTGTAAGTACTATTAAACCATAATATTTTAGGTTTTATAGATACTGATGTTTTAGTTATCAATGAATTTGACCTTGAGATATAAGCTCGGCTTGGTGTTACTTTTACTTCTTTTAAAATTGTTTGTTTTAATTATTCAAACAAGTGATCATTCACTTTTTGTATGAAGTAGTATCATCACCAATTAACGTGTATTTTTGGACTTAATGTGTTGCTCAATACTGCATGTATTTGATAAATTTGATATTCATGTTGATATCGAGGAAATTTTATTTACACTTGTATTTAAGCATAAAATGAAAATATGCGCGCGCGTGTGTGTGTGTTTGTGTGTGTGTGAAAAGAATTTCATCATATACAACAACAAACAAATATCCTCTTTATATACCAACATAATATAAATAATAAATAAACATAAAGTAGATAAGGCTAGATTGTTTACATTGATAGTAATCGATTAAAGTATGTTTGTTGTTACAGCATTCGAAAATATATCTTAAAAACACATCTTTGTTATTTGTAGAGCGCAATTGTTCAGTCATTATTTGAAGTAGATGGAAACTTGTTAAAAGTAAAATCTACAGTGGCTGAGGATTTCTTTGATTATGAAAGAGAAGGCGCAGTATTAAGTTATGCAATCGTATTGAAGTAAGTTGTTGATAAGAAAATAAGTATCATCAAACTGCTGTTTGAGTTAAATATTTGTACACGTTTTTGGAATGCGGAAAACTCATTGTTAGTTTATACGCCGACAACACAAAATTTACTTTCTTAGCTTAACGTTAACATTGTCAAACCATCATGAATCGGATCATCATAAAATTCTATCCCACCAAGAAAAAAAAAAAAAATTTAACCTTTTACCCCTGTCCCCCCCCCCCCTTGGAAGAAAAAAAAAAAAAAAATGGTTTAAAATAATTTTTTCAAGGAATTTAAAACTATTGATAGCTACTGACTATATTCAACGACAAATAAAATTTACTGAGGGAATTCCAATTTGCATAGGAATTAGTAACATTGACAGTTAGTTGAGCTGCTACCTTACCACTTTCAAATTTTCAAGTCAACGAGAGTGGTTTGTATCCTTATATATAGGAAACATTCCCTTTTGTTAATTCACCAACTTTAGTTTTAGCACATTATTATGCTCATTATAAGTACAAACGTTGTTACATTATTACATAATATTTTAACCAATTTTGCATTACTTGAATATCCAGTACTAGAATACGTTTTAACAAATTCAGAAGATATTTAAAGTCAACTGTGATGCAGTTGGTGTATGTGAAATTTATATCAATTTTATATAATTTGAAATATTTTTGTACCAGCAAGAGTTACCTCTCTTTTTATTCTGCTTTCGTGCAAATTGGCTTCATCTATTAATTTTCGTCTATTTCGGTGAAAATTTCATATATGGAAGTAGGAAAATCGTTTACAAATGTTAATCGCGTTAATTGTAAAAGGAAAGTGTGGTGTTGTCAACCTGAGAGTGTTAACTGGTGCAGTAACATTCTCAACGTCATGATGCACAGCATTAAACGTGTTGTGTACGTTCTATTGTTTACATTTCTATATGTCGAAATCTAAATACAGTTTGCAATTTATGTAAGTTGCATGTTAAAGCTTCCATTTTATCAAATCAAGATATTCAAAATGCTTAATACCAGTGCAATATGTTAATCTCGGATCGACTATTAGAGTTTTACTAATCTGTTTAGTAGAACCGAAGTATGCATTCTCAAATTTCAAAGGCTGGATTTTTGGCAACGAATAGCCTCCGTAAATCTAAAGTCTTACGTGGTGTTAGATCAGGGCGGCGTAGGTTTTTTTCTTATTTATATTTTCAATATTTTTTGTGCTATGATTGTTAATGATGTCAATAAAATCAGAAAATAATTATGTTTATTTCCCTATGCATGTACTATATAAGAAAGTAACAGATTTTAATATTTTTCTATTTTAAAATTGTCCCTAAAAGTTACTTGGTGAAAGTTAAAAAACCTTCATTTTAGTTCTCCTTTTTTGGTTTATAATATAAAAAAAATTTTAACATAAAAGGAAAACGGGGCATAATTAATTTTAATTGAAAATTTTTAAATAAAAAAAAATGCAAATTTAAATTGGACAAAAAATTTTCTTTATGATCTAATAAGTCATATCGAATTCAGGGTAACTGATGAACTTGGATTAACATCAACACTACAAACAACAATAGAAATCAAGGATGACAATGAATTTGCTCCAGTGTTCACAAGTTCCACAGAGGCTTTCGGATCCATCACAGAATCATCACCTGGAGGTACGTTGTCAGACAATAAAGATAAACATATACTAAGCTCATTTTTGGGAACGATGCATTTTTTTACAGAAAAAAATGTTTTCTGATTTGGAGAAAGCTACAGCTTAGATATTTGACATGAAATGTTGTTTGGTGAACCTCTATCAAGATTGTTTGAATTAAGCCCTCGGGTCAAAATTTTGCGTTTTCCCAAGGGGACAGTGACCTACTTTCTTGTCCTTTGATGTACAGCCATGAAATTTTGGGCGCTATGTGTTTCTTTTACTCTCGAAATATTTGATTGTTTTGATTCAGTCTATTATTCCGTCCGTTGACAATTTGTTGTTGTTGTTGTTTAAAATATTTCACAACTAGATTTATAATTACCAAACATTATTTAGCTTGGATCTGGTTAAAGTATGAAGGTTGTGATAAAATATGTTGACCTTTGTAAGTAAACTGCATGTGTAAAGAAACTTTTACATGTATATCACTTACTTTTGATTATTGTGTACATTTTAACTATATTTGTGTGTAAGAAAAAAATAAAAATTTACCCAAATTTTTATAGGGGGATTTTCAAAGTTTTTTATCGAAAGGGGCTTTAAATTTTTTTAAAAAGGGGAAACTGGGCATGTAAACAAAAAAAATCAAAACATATTTAAAATAAGGGTTTAACTGAAATTTTGATATATTATACGGCAACCCCAAATTTGATTTTCAAAATTAAACGGGGGTTTTCAGATAAAAATCGGGGGCCAGTTTTAAAAAAGTCAAATTTTAACATTAAAAAGCCCAAATTTTTTTAAATTGAATCCAAAGTTTAACCCGGCTGAGTATTTGAAATTTAAAAAGGGAATTTTCTCAATCAGATGGCATTCCTATTATTTCTAAAATGGTTTTGTTTTTACATAATAATATACCCATTTGATTTAGCAAAAAAACAATTTTGTGCCAGTTTGGTTCTGAAGAAGGTATAAAAGCAATGCCGCATAAGTTGGGCTCAGTTTTTTACCATATAATATATAGACCTTTTTACGTTACGATATTTCCATTGTAACGGAAGTAGCATTTTGCGCATGCGCATTCTAAATAGGGCAGAAAATAATAACAAAAAATAAGTATTATCAGTAATCAACAGTTCCATAAATATTTTGATGTAATCTGAAAGATTGAACATTAGTTTTGAATTGTTTAATTTGAAGGAAACAAATAACCGTACAAAGGTTCGCTTGTGGTATTTTTAAAGCACTGAACTCCTAAATTAAGGATCTTGAATACGAAATTGATGGGCAATATTATCTGCATATTCTCATACTTAAATACTTCAATAAACACGATCAAGTTATGTCACCTGGAAAGCATTAAATTTAGGATGACTTTAAGCTGGGACAGAAGATATCATTTAGTCCCAGCTTAAAGCGGTAAGTACGTAAAAAGTGAATTTGAAGTTAATTACAGATATATGAAACAATGCAGGACAATTATCAAAAAAGGGTATGCACAAGTAACATTAGACGTCTTTTTCAGCAGTAATTTAAAGTGTTAAAGATTAATTTTTTACCCTGTATTACATAATATTACACAATAAGTACTGGTTATGCGGATTGGGTCAAACAAATTGACACGTGACCGGTTGCTTTTTAATAATATAGTAAATGCGTTCCAGAATAAAAAAGGAAATTCCAGATGTCCTTTTTCCGGGGGTCGACCTAAAGCCACTTTTTCGACAACAAATTTACATGCCCAGAGAGAGATAGAGTGTTTGCTGACTTAGAGGAATAATTCCCCTTTCTTTTAAACCTCATACGAAACGCTTGGTACCTGTCCGTTCTGTGGATAATATTCCATTACCTTTTATACGAGTTTATTTTCTTACGATTATGTTGGAAAATCGTTTTTCGGGGCTATTTGATGAATACATATAGAAGAAGATTTTGCTTGCTTTTAAATGGGTCAATATTATTGTCATTTGTGCGGATTACAAAAGCCGTTTTAATTAATTGTAGACGTCCAATGTATTTTTTAAATATAAAAAAGGAAGGTTAAATAATAACGGAAATGTCTGTTAATTTTCGATACATGTTTTCATACTTCTATTTGAGAATATAAAGAAGAAACACAAAAAAATACACCCAATAATAATTACATTCAATAAATAATAATTATAATAATGGTTTATATAAAACTGTTGACATTTATCTGTAAACTATTTCAACTTATTTTTTACAACATAAATATGTTTATCAAACAACCGTACACGTATTATCATTTAAGTAAATTGAAAACATAACAAATTGATAGGCATGCTGATCTTTATTTTTTTATTCTTATGTAGTTGTAGTTGTTTATTCTATACTATACATGTAGTGTAAAGTATATATAAAAAATATTCAGATGTATTCATCAATGAAATGCGTATTTTAATTTTCCATATATTTCTCTTTATAAGATTACATTTACTGCTGTGTATCATATTTTCCGTACTTTCATTCGAGTCGTAACTTCTTTCATTAATATACATATTAAAATAAATAAAAATGGGACTGTAATATCTGTAACAATTTTAAATAAAGTAACCGCATTTAATAAACAAAAAAGTTTATTATTTTTCCAAAATAACGGGATTTAATTTCATGATTATCCAATTAATTATATCTTATCCGTGTTTATAACAAATTGTATAATAATCGTTTTCATACCACTCGATGAAATTAATCATGTAATTATATAAAAAAAGTCCTTGATATCATCTTTTCATTATATTATTAAATATCCTTAATATAAGTTTGGAAATATTGAGAATTATTGATAACATGAAAGTGAGTAGTTTGTTTCAATATTTTCTGTTTCAACATATTTCCGTATTTTCACTACATTCTTCTAAAATCAGCCAAATCACGAAATTAGAAGTATTTCAAATTTAAATGTCGAACAAACGGAATAAACAGAAAATTCAACTTTTTTTCTATACCTACGGAATTAATTAATTTTCACACTGTGGCATGAAAGTTCGAATATTTAAATATTCGCGAAATATTTATTTTCATACTAGTTTCAATCGATAAAAACAAATCCTGTATTTATTGAAAAGAACTTAAACATCGCCTATTTAATCATCTTTTTATCTTCTTCATTTTGCGTCTTTAAAATACATATGAAAATTTGGTCGTCACTTATTTGTTATTGTTAAATAGTACGATACATGTATAATCTATTGTTCAAGATATGTTTGTTAATTGATAAAAAGAAGAAAAAAACAACAACAACAAAAATAAATAAGCAAAACATGATAAAATAAAGTTTGACATGCAATCGATAAAATTTTCATTCACGTATAGAGTGATATCTTATTTCACGGCGTCTCAACGCCGTGATATTGTGATGGGTAGTTTTCGGTAGCATGGGCAAAAGTCACGTGACAAAATTCCTTTCGATTTCTACAGCCGACATTTTATTGGCTTTTTTACGCAATCATTGTACAGCCCATTTCCGTGAAAAGTTACATAGAAACATTTTCCTTTCAAATCATATACATTACAGTATTTCTATCAACACGCGAAATATCAGCGTGATATATTTACACAATTTCGCAAATCCTTTCGACACACTTGAGAAGTTTGAATACTAAAACCCGGATTTCGAATATCGTTGTGGTCTACATTGATGCCGTACATGTATCCATTCGTTCATTCATTTATATATTTTCAAAATTTTCCTACAAGAAAGTTCACCTGCCAATTAGTACATGTATAAGGATAGGTAATGGACTGTTATAAACGATTATCCTATTAATTTTATATATTACGTTTATCTGTTGCACAGAATGGTTGTTTTTACAAGGTGTACCAGTATCCGGATGTTGAAAGCTATCCGATTTTCTGCAAAAACTGCTGTAACATGGCCATCTATTTTTTTTATGATTACTTTACCATGAATTTGCATGGCTTAATAAAACTGAGCCTGCAACACTTCTTAATTTTGATGTTTGGGGTGTTCTTTTGGGTTTCAGGTTTTCTCTATTTTAAGGGGAAGTAACTCATGTTTACTAAATTATCTGTTCTTTTCTGTCTATCTTAGGTTGAAGTTAGGTATTACTTACTATTTTTGTTTCATAAATTTACCAGTTGTAAGGTATTAATCAAAAGCATAGAGGCCATGATGAGTGAATATTGATATATATTTTTTTACTGGCTTTATATACCTTT